CTATTTAACTTTCTTGCGAGCATGCATAGTAGTTCGATGATGAAAACAGTCTATTTTTAAGAACCCTCATTAAAAATTCATTTACGAAAAATTAACTAAACTAATATTCGTTTATCGTTTAATATTAATTTTTATAATTTAATATTTAACTAAAAAATATGGTTACTTTACTATTTGAATAATCATTGATGCGTAAACAGTTACAAATTTAAAGTTACGTCTCACATGAAGTTCACACAAATAAATTAAAAATATCACGTGAAAGATGAATACTAAAAATTTGGATTAATTACAAAAAACTACCTCAAGTATGGGTCAAATGACACTTTCATACCTCATCTTTTAAAATTGACAATGTCATACCTCATCTTACGAATTTGTGTCAATGTTATACCTTCCGTTAGTTTGGCCGTTTATTTCTCAGTTAAATGCTGACGTGGCTTGATCCGGGACCCATTTTTATTAAAAAATTAATAAAAAAATCATTTAATATTATTTAAATATTAAAATAATAATAAAAAGTACATAAAAAAAATTAAAAACATTAGACATCATCTTCCCTCTCCTTTCCTTTCGTGCATCTCCCACCTCTCTCTTCCCCATCATCTTCCTGCAACCCAGCAACCCAGAAAAGAAGAAGGAGAAAGAAGAAGAAGAAGAAGAGAAAAAAAAAAAAAAAAAACCCAAACCAAACCAAACCCAGTTCATCCCCCTCCCCCCACCACAAACTCAACCCCCTGCAACCTAGAAAGGAGCAGGAAGAAGAAGGAAACAAAAAAAAAAAAAAAAAAAAAAAAAAGGAAACCCAGTTCGTCCCTTGCAGAAGAAGAAGAAGAGGGAAGAAGAGGGAGGAAGAAGAAGAGAGAAGGGAAAAAAAAAAAAAAAAAAGCAGCAAACCCGTCCCCTCCCACCCAACCCCACCCCCCCAACCTAACCCGCAGAAGAAGAGGGAAGCAGAAGAAAGAGAAGAAGAAGAAAAAAAAAAAAAAAAAAATACCCAGTTCGTCCCCCTGAAGAAGAAGAAGAAGAAGAAGAAGAAGAAAAGGGAAGAAGAGGGAAAGAAGAAGAGGGAAGAAAAAGAAAAAAAAAAAAACAACCCAGTTCGCCCCCTGAAGAAGAAGAAGAAGAAGAAGAAGAAGAAGAAGAAGAAGAAGAAGAGGGAAGAAAAAAAAAAAAAAAAAAAAAAAAAAAAACAACCCAGTTCGCCCCCTGAAGAAGAAGAAGAAGAAGAAGAAGAAGGAAGCAAAAAAAAAAAAAAAAAACCCAATTCGCCCCCTGTAGAAGAAGAAGAAGAGAGAAGAAAAAGAAAGAAAAAAAAAATCGAGTTCGTCCCCTGCAGAAGAGGGAAGAAGAAGAGGGAAGAAGAAGAGAAGAAAAAGAAAAAAAAAAAAAAAAAAAAAACCCACTTCGTCCCCCTGCAGAAGTAGAAGAAGAAGAAGAAGAAGAAGAAGAGGGAAGAAGAGGGAAGAAGAAGAAGAAGAGAGAAGAACAAAAAAAAAAAACAAAAAAAAAAAAAAAAAAAAAAAAGCCCACGCCCAGTTCGTCTGCAGAAGAAGAAGAAGAAGAAGAGGGAAGAAGAGGGAAGAAAAAAAAAAAGGGTTTTTATTATTTTAATATTTAAATAATATTAAATGATTTTTTTTGTTTTTAATAATTTTTTTATTAATTTTTTAATAAAAATGGGTCCCGGATCAAGTCACGTCAGCATTTAACTGAGAAATAAACGGCCAAGCTAACGGAAGGTATAACATTGACACAAATTCGTAAGATGAGGTATGACATTGTCAATTTTAAAAGATGAGGTATTAAAGTGTCATTTGACCCAAACTTGAGGTAGTTTTTTGTCATTAACCCTAAAAATTTCTTCGCTCTCCTGTTGCAAAGGTCCGTGGCCCAATTCATCATGCAGTTTGGTTTCTCTCAGAGCAGGACACGAGTCTCAATGGCCCAATAACGCTTCAATCTCGGGTGGACCCCATAAGGTGAGCCTCTGAGGGCAAATCCCTACGTCAACTTCGAAGCCTGGCCCCACATAGATGGAAATGTAATTAAGCACGAGTCTGACTTTGACATGGATCTTTGGCACATCATTGGCTATCTTGTTTGACTTAACACTAATCTCAATGGGAACATTTTTGCTTCGAGTAGGATTCTCTCTTAATTTATTCTCATATCTTTTCCTCTCTTACAGAGGGGGGAGGAGAATAGACTTAGTCTTACAAAGGGTAGCAATAATATGATTCAAATATGTCTTTGGCGATAATTGAACTAAATATCTCTCTCTTTTAACTGAAGAGAAATATTATTAGACCGTAGTACCAAGTGACATTTATTTTTCACATTAAATGTTACTTTTTTTTCAATTTGAAAAAAAAATAACTAAGCTTAAGTGAAAGTGAAAAAACACATGACAGATGATTAAATATATAGTAAGCATACACTGTAGTTTAGGGTGGTAGCAAAATAACATCATCCAGCAACAATCAAGAGTCGAAGGTCTGATTCCACCTAATGGCCAATTCAACCAACAGAGAAAGCAACCTTAGCCCTTAGTGCAAGCACTAAGTAAGTAAACAACCTTCGTGAACGTCACGATCTCAATTACTTGATTAAGTTTATAAAAATTAGAGTAAATTGTAGCAATGATCCTTAACTTTAACTCAGTTGGAGTAATAGTCCCTTAACTAAAAATTCATTACTATTAGTCCATCAACTCATCAAAATGTGCAATTATGGTATCTCAACTAAAAATTCATTATCATTGGTCTCTCTCAACTTGTCAAAACCTGCAACTATGGTATCTCAACTAAAAATTCATTACCATTGGTCCCTCAACTTTAATTCAACTGGAGAAATGGTCCCTTGATTTTAACCAAATTGGAGCAATAATCCCTCAACTTTAACCCAATTGTAGCAATGATCATTCCAACCTAACTCATTTTGACAAAATTCTAACAAAGTTGACGAAAATGACCTTATCTACACGTTTTATTGAGTTGAGGGAGCCCAATTGTAACAATGGTCCTTTCAGCATAACTTATTTTGATAAAATTCTAACGAACTTGACGAAAATAATCATAACTACACGTTTTGATGAATTGAGATACCAATAGTAATGAATATTTAGTTAAGATACCATTACTTTAATTTACTCTAAAAATTATGCTTACACTACACTGTGTACTTGGCATGTCCATGTCACGAGCGTGCAAATGTGGCACATAAGGGCAGGGCATGTTTGCATAGAGGTGATGGCCTACAGGCCCTACCTTATAAACGAAGGGCACCCCTCCTGCCTCTTGTAAGTTTACTGTGCCCCTCGGGGGTTGTCGATCGCAAATGTTGTGTGGAGACGTCTTATGCGTCAATCCGCATTTTGATGGACCATTTACGCTAACAGGATCCCCTTTAGATATTTTTGAGGAGGATCCTGAAAATTTGTAATCGTGTTTGTTTATCGCATATCGTATATCGTATGATAAATTTTTATTAAGTACTATTTATGTTTAATTTTAAATAAAAATATTTAAAATAATTTATTACTGCACGATTTACGATAAACAAACTCGATTCACAGATTTCCGAAATTCTCACAAAAAAAAATACGGTGAGGATCCAGATTCCCATTTACGAGTGTGTTGTCTCATGAATCAACACCACCCAACATTTTCTCCATAAATTGAATATTTTCTTTTTGAATAAACAATATTATTTAGGATGATAGATTAAACTTCATAATAAATTAGTAATAATGTGACTCAAATTTATTTTTAACAAGAATCAAACTTAGAATCTTTTAATTATAGGTGAAGAGTAATACTACTGTAATGTAGTACTCAGTTGAATACTCTTTTGAATGTGAACACTTCCTAACAGTATTGTAGTATGCCAATGGCGGTAGGGTCTGCCACAGTGTACATTGGTGGCTGCAATTAAGACAAGCTAATGTGGCAATTCGTAATGGGTCCAGAGTATATTAAAAATGTGTTACTTCTCATAAATCATGTGAAATTAGGTTGAATGTGAATCAAATTACTAAAAGTCATTGAGAATTAGTGCCTCGATGAATAAAATACAATAAAAATAAAAATAATAAAATGGTCATTGACTTGACGACTTGGTTCCGCTTTTCATCCTCCTTCCTAAAGCACTTTTTTATGGACAAAGTATCCATATTCCTCTTGTGTCTGTGTAACTTTTTAATATTTATTCATATCTTACCAACTTTATTAGCTAAATAATCATATCAAGTTTTACCACACGTGTAAATAGAGGTGTAACGTACACATAAATTCAGGAGGATCCTCTTCGGATTGTCTTTGTGAAGAACATGAGGATCCTTAAATCATGATCGTTCATCGTATATCATGCGGTCAATTTTCATCTGGTACTATTTATATTTAATTTTAAATAAAAATATTTAAAATGATTTTTAACCGCGCAATTTAAGGATCCCTAAGATCCTCACAAAAGAATCCAAAGAGGATTCTCATTTCACATAAATGAACGGACTACATCTTCAATGATATATGGTTTAAAATTACGGCTCATTCTTGCGAACTTAATAATTCAATAAACGTAGTTATGAAGCTATGTCAAGACCAGGTGAAGAACAACTTAGCTCACATTCATTTAGCGAGAGAATCTTTTGAGATGTAGTTTAGAACGTTTCAATTTTTAAATTAGGAATGGTGATAGAATGATTCATCAATAATGTTCTTTTTTAATCTAATTAAAATGATATTTATAATGTAGCATTGCAACCATTGAAGGTCGAATATATATCTGAATAAAAAATGATTGACGATTATAGCTAAAATCGCCTATAAGTTTTCATTTAATAACGAGAACTAATTTCATGTTGCTACAAACTTGTGGAAATCTGTTACTTACACATAAACAAGTATTACTAAATGCTAACACATAATTGTTTTTTTGTGCGTACGAAGTGAGTTTGATAAAGGCACATCAATTAGAATAAAAAGAAAATAACACAAATATAGAATCCAAGAAAAATCTTGTTAAATTCGACCGAAAAATGAAACATACAAATTGTTAAAGCACCAAAAACACCTACATCTAAAAGCCTCCCTCCAGTAGCGAAAATGGATAAGGCGGTGGCGGACTAGCTTCCACCTCCGTGAAGTATCCCACTTCCCCGCCAGGGTCGCCACCATTCCCATTCCCATACCCGTACCCGGAACTACTACTATTCCGGATATTCTCCGCCCCATGACCCGACGCCGTCGGATTCATATTATTCGGGTTTTGTACAGCGCGAACTTGATCCACAAACCGCCTCTGCCTTAACCAATCCGACGCCGTCTGGACCTCCGGTGACGTGGAATACCGATTAAAACTCTCCATCTCAAAACCTGCTTCAGGAGATGACGAAATTACCCCTACGGTTCCATCATCTTCGTCCTCAGTCCTAACGGAAGTGGTGGCCCCCATCCCCGATGACGACGACGACGTCGATGCTATCATCATAACCCGCCGTTTCTTCTCTCCCAACAGCGCCGTCGTCGCGCGGTCCTTCTCGAGCATCATACGTGGCAGAATCTCCGGGTCCTCCGCCACTTTGTGTAGAAACGCCATCATTTGCTGCGGCCGTCGCTCCGTCGTCTCCAGCCGCCGGTTCATATTCCCGATTTCTTCCTCCAGCGCCTTCTGCTCCTGCTTCAACCGCGAAATCTCCATAATTATATCTTCGTCGTTGAGCTCCTCGTGCTTCGTTGGTAAGAAATTCGAATTCGAAAAAAGCGAATTCGAGTTAGAACTCTTGCCCATTTGTTTTCTCCTCGCCACGTTTCTCAGCAAATGCGTCTGTCCTCGTAGAAACCACTCGTTCGCGAACTCCCACTTATCTGGATCGACCTTTCGAAATCCCTGCAAAATCAATCAAAATTACGAACTGGGTTTTTCAATTCTCTACTTAATTAACAGAACCCATTAATTTACTAATTTCATGATTAATTGCTCACATAGGTGTTGAGCTGGCGGACGAAGCTGGAGAAATTGTTGTGCTTGAAGTAAGCGGGTAACAGTCTCTGGGAGAAGACCAGTGGGTCGACGACGATGAAGCTGTTGTTGGCTCTTCCCCAAGTGATTAGATTGTCCGTCGTTGGATCGTTAACCATCTGGTAAGTCTTCAAAACGAACGGTGCGATGACGTTGTTGCTCTCCTCCATCATCATCCCATATACCTATTCTCTGCAACTCTCTGTTTTCAGTGTGTCTTCCCAGAGCCTTATCTATCGCTGCCTTTTTTTTTCGAATAATGGTGAAGGAGCACCGTAAATATATAACAGACGCGCGCACAGTAGCACCGAGCTAACGTGGCACACGGCGATAGGTATCTGATATTTCATTGGCGGGAGCGATGTGGGACCTGCCTTTCTCCCGCTTTTTGCACACGTCATTGTGACTCGTGAGATATTTTCCAGGAGAGTGATGTTCCACGCGCGTAAAAGGGGCGTGGACTTGAATGCGGGTTTTTTGTTTGATTATTTAGTGACGTGGTCCCCCTAGGTTGTTGACAACTGTAGTTATACCTAGACGACAGGGTGGGTATTAGTCGAGATTAGATGAGATTGGGTAGGGCTGGTTTGATATGGGATACCGAACCGAAAATGGCATACCAAATTTCAAACTGAAAATTTTCGCAACGAGAATTCGACGATTAATCCCCGAATTGAAATTTCGAGATTCCAAAAATCTTTTCGGTATTTCAAGATTTCCCGAAACTGAACCTGCATCAAAATCCAAATCATCTAGATTAAAATTGAAATCATCTGAACCTACATTAAAAACCTAAATTTAAATCAGAGAGTGACAATGAATCGGTGGTCGAGAGAGAGACAGAGTGAAGAGATAGTTAGACAGACCTCTGTCATCCTCTTGACTCGAGCCTTCAATTCGAAACCCTGAGCCCCTGACTCGAAACCCTAAGCCCAAATTTGAAACCCTAACCTTAATTCGAAACCCCACACACACAAAGACTAGAGAGAATCGGTGTTGGCGGATGAAGTCGTGAGGTGTGGTGGTGGCCAGAGTAAAGAGAGTTCGTCGGAGTCAAATTATGAAATGGTAGGTGGTTGTTGAGCTTCGAATTCGAGAATGAGCGACAGAGAGAAGCCCTAGCATTGCTGGGTGTGCGCAACGGAGAGGGTGACCGGCACCACTACTTTTGGCGATTGTGTCTTAGTCAGGAAACCTTGGGGCGAGTTTATGGTTCAACAACGACCATGATTAGCAAAAAAAGGTGAGAATCTTTCGTTCAAAACCAAAACCCTAGAAAGTTGAATTGGGCTTATGAAAATTTCAATGAGATTGGAAGGAATCTTGGTTAAAACTCGTCGGGGATGAACTTCTGGTCGTCAAGGACGATGACCTATGTGGCGTGGCATGGCTGTAGGCCAAGCCCTGCGGTGGTTCAATAACGGTAACGCCATCTTGGCATAGAGTTTTTTTTTGGGTTGCATGCTAGGAGCTGTTGGCAGTGCAGCTCGAAGTCATAGGTCGCGTGTAGGGTTTTCAATAACCCTAATTTAGTTTTTCTCAGTTCAAATATATTTAAATGCATATTCACAATATCAATTCACAATAATTCAACAATTATGAATATAGTGCATAAACAATTTATGTAGAAACTAAAATTCGTAAAACGTAAAGTTGGACTACGCATTATGGTGAAGGTTCATGCAAATATGGCTGAAAAATATCAAGTATAAAACCGTTGTTTTGGAAGAACCTGATTGTGTGATGATATTGATGAACTAGTTTGTAATAAAAAAATTCCCTATCAGATTCCTTAGTGTAGCGGATGAGCATGCTGATAACGTGTTGCGGCTTATTTAACTGAAATGGAATAAGAGGTACGACAAGAGAGAGTATGGAGAAAATGTAGGGATTTCTTATGTGTCTGTTATCTATTCTAGACAGTGTCTGTATTTATAGTAGAGAATAAAGAGATGATTAACTTGTCCTCCAAGTAAATACAATCATATAGGGAAAGAAAAATTAGTAACCAAATCTATTTAGCATTTACACAATCACAATCCAAGAGTATCTGTGTCATATCCTGGCCCGGACCCCCACCACATCCCGGGCTCGACTCCACCATAGCACGATATTATCCGCTTTAGGCCCCGACCACGCCCTCACAATTTTGTTTCTGAGAACTCACACGAGAACTTCCCAGTGGGTTACCCATCCTGGGAATGCTTTCACGCGCTACTCGCTTAACTTCGAAGTTCCTATGGAACTTGAAGCAAATGAGCTCTCAAAAGGCCTCGTGCTAGGTAGAGATAAGAATATACATATAAGGATCACTCCCCTGGGCGATATGGGATCTTACAATCTGTAACATATGCAAATTTATTAAAAGATTGGTGTATATATCAATATCGAGTCAGTTGCCTTTGATGATAATTGTGAAAATTTATAAAGAGATGAGCATATTCAAATTTGTCGAAATTAAAGAAAAATATCTTAAAAAAAAAAAAAAATCAAAAGTTCAATCTGCAATGGGCTCCGGTAAAACTTATGTAGTGAATTGGTAAATATCATCAATATTAATTGATTTTGTTATATTTTGCCCATATAGTGTAAAGTTTGCATTTCACCCCTCTTCCCAAATCGATCTTGATTTTTCGAATATTTCAATGAAAATATTGATAATTTCATGTATGTATTTAAATAGTGGTCACATGATAATTAGAGGAATTAATTATTAGTTTCATGGCGTTAAGGCTAATTACAATAGGCTAAACGGGTAATAGATCTTAGACCATCTCCAAAGAGATGTCAAATATGCCAAATAAGATTAAAAGACATTCAAATGTTCTCTAATGGATATGCCATATATGATGTGGCATGTGAGTCATGTGAGTCATTTAATTTAATTTTTTGATGCATGGATCCCATTAACAACCAGTAGAATACAAACTAAAACTAATTTTGATTATTTTTTAATAGTTAATGTAAATCTAGGCCCAATAAAATAATAAAATAAATATTTGACACATCCATTAGAAAGAAGAAGATTTAGCACTTGTATTCAATTTGCCACATCAACCATCAAATAAAATTTTGACATACTATATTGGACGTATCTTTTGGAGATGCTCTTGGCCGTCTTAGGCTATAATTTTTTTTATTAATTAATAAATGGCCAACAATTCGTCATCCACATCTTTTCTTTTGAAAAAGGCTTAAATGTCAAAATAGCCCTGGTGTTATAGCCAAATGACAAATTTAGTCCTCATGTTTTTTAATTGGCTAATTTAGTCCTCGTGTTTGTCTTCGTTAGCCAATTAAGAACATTTTATTCAATCTCTTTAAAAAATTCATAAGAAAAATCATATGAGAAATAATTACCCTTTATCTTTATAAAAAAGTAAAAATCAATGAGAAATAACACATATAAGAAATAAAACTTCCAATCTGAAAAAATGAATAAGGTTATGACGTAGAAAAGAGAGGGGTAATATTAGGGAGGAGGTTGGAGAGTTGCAAGGAGGATATATTTGTTTTAATTTTTAATTTTATTTCATTTTAAACATTTTAAATCAAATAAATTATAATTTAACAAATAAGTTTTATAGTAATTTATAAATTATTTACAAAAATTAGATGAAAATGTCCTTAATTTGATAAGGAGATAAACACAAGGACCAAATTGACCAAATTGAAAACACATGGACTAAATTGACCTAATGAGTAAAACGCATGGACCATTATAACATTTAAGCCTTTGAAAAAACTATGAACTCAGAGAGCTCTAGATGGAATTGCAGTTCATAAACAATTGAGAAGGTAAAGGCAGCATGTGGCTTATTTCTTGGACCTAATTCAAAAGAAGGTGGTGGTTCTTATTCGTGTATATATACGAGACTGTTGAAAATCTCACCTCAAAAATTTAATAAAATAAATAATTATTTATGTATAATTATTCTATTTCTAATTACACCAATATCTTTCAAGATTACAAACGACAATTTTTTGGCTACACGTTGTTAATATGGAGACATCGGTTCATCTCTATGCAACTTTGACACACTATGACATATATCAAAATAATAACATAAAGTTACGTGCTTTAACCCTCACACGATATTCTTTCTTAGTTTAAAATATCATTATCGCGGCATTTTTTAATGTAAGTAAGCCTGTCTCCTTACTATACTTACTACTAAACAGCGAAATATGTTGTACATAAACAAGAATTCTCGAATTTTTAATGCACAATTCAACTAATGTCAAACGATGGGTGAGCATAGAATTCGATCTATTTCTCTCCTAATCTTAGTGGGCAGATTGAGCTAGTAAAAAGAAAACCCACACGTGAAGTACATCATCAAGGTTGAATGGAAAGATATAAATATTGTATTAGCTAGCTTTGATAGGAACAAGTGACCCAATGAAAAATGATGCCTGGCCAAAAAGAGAAAGTATTATGTGGTGCTTAATTTTTGTCTATAACTTAGTTTTAACAACCATCCATGACCATATGATGGGAAAGTCATAGTCAAATTAAGAACTCTTACACTCCTACAAAGATTGTTAAAAAAGAGAGAGTATTATGTGGTGCTTAATTTTGGTCCATAACTTAGTTTTCACGATGATCCATGACCGCATGCTGAGAAAGTCAGAGTGAAATTAAGAACTCTTACACTCATACAAAGATTGTTACGAAATAAAAATAAAAATTTAAGCACTCGTTCAATCTAGATCATAGAATATGACGGTATTTGAGATTTTTCACATCCAATACAAACTCACCAATTCTTATCAAATAAATTTAAAAGGTCCACGTATATTACTAATCAGTTGTATCATCATGCGAAATAATTTAGGGAGTTTTAACGAAACATTCACAGTACTGTTCACTTTTAATGAAAAATCATATTTTTATCTTTCTCTTGTACTATTCACTACACCTTTATTTGTCATTTTTCATTAAGACTAAAGTTTTTTTTTGAACTTTTTATCAGTTTTCCTAATAATTTATCGTGCAAGCACTATTTCATATGGAGTTTCTCGCTTACATTTTTACAAGTTATAAGTGTACGACAACTTCTTTTGAATGTTGATAAGAACTTTTTACACTCTAGTTAATACTATATGACATGTTTACTTATCAATAATGAATTTATCATATCGAGTATTACTACTGACAAGAAATATAGAAGTAGATGAGTCCTACATTAAAATGAGGTAGGATATACTTGTTTAACCAGCTATGAGATCATAAAGTATAATTGAACGACCAAGCATTA